ACATCGTCCTTCTTGTCCACTTTGAGGTCCAGGTTGGACTCCAGAAACTCCCATTCTTCCAAGAAGAACTGGATTTCCTGGTGAGTCCACGAATTAGCTAACTGACCTGTGAATGGAACAAAACAAGGTAGATAGACTTGAGTTCCACCTCTTTGGTTCTTCTGGAGAAGGGTTTTCTAGATCTTGCCTTTACATTCCCTGGCTTAAACATGGCTACATTTCGTTAGCAGGAGGTGATCAAATCTTAACAGGGTGAAGATTTGAGACTCAGATCTATCTGAGTGTTCATGTCCAACACATCAATTCACCGGGACAGATCTAGATGCTGTTCAAATGGAACTAAAAATACTACAGTTCAGAGACTAGATAGACCCTTAGTGGTATATTTGCTACCTGGAAAGCCCCCTACCCTTACTGGGTCCTCTCATAAACACTGTGGCCCCTAGGCCCCAGGGGTCAGGACAAGGCTGAGGTCAGCCATGTCATCCCCAGAGCCATGCCCATGTTGGGGTCTAGCATAAGCATGTCAATCTCTGGAAGTTGGAGACTTAGGAAGTTTTCTCTGGTCGAGATAGAACTCTGAACACATTGTACCTGTGGTTGCTGTGGTTGCTTGATTTTCCTGTCTCTCCATTACTGTTTGGGTGTTTGTAGATCTAATCTGAGAACTTGAAACCTAATTGAAAGAATAAGAGAGGAACGGTGGTTACATTCACACATAGATCTCATACCTAGGTTTAGGTTCCATCCCCAGCAATGTAGCACAAAACTAACACGTCATTCCTAGAAGGAGGATCTCTCAGTGACTTCCTTGTGAATTAATGAAAGGATTAATGAAAATTAATGAAAGTCACATCAGATCATTGGAAATAAAATCTTTCTGGACTTCTCTGGAGATACAAGCACATTCTAAAATAAGGGAGGATTAGGCACTCAGGAACCATCCCTAGATTCAGGAGGCTGGGATGTGAGGATCAAGGTTTGAAACTAGCCCAAGCCAGAAAGTCCATGAGACTCTTACTGCCAGTTACCATCAGGAAAAAGCCTTGGTCAAATTGTCTCTCAAAAAGCAAGCATAACAACAAAACCCAATAAAGGATAGTGTCTGAACCCTGTGCTCAAGTCTCAGTACCTATACAAAAATAACACTGAGAGCTTCAGATTCTGACTATTAACCAAGAAAGTGTCTCCAATCTGTGTCCCCTTTCTCCAGCAACTTGGCATTAAAAAGTTAAGGTGGGGTTGTGAATGTGGCTTAGTGCTAGAGTGCTTGCCTAGCATGCATGTAGCCCTGGGTTCCAATCCTCAGTACCACATCAACAGAAAAAGCTGTAAGTAGCACTGGGGTTCAAGTGGCACTGTGCTAGCCTTGACCAGAGATTGGCTCAGGGACTGTGCTCAGGCACTAGCACTAGGCACTAGCAAAAAAACCTCACAGGCTTTCCTGTCCTGGCTGGCTTTGAACCTTGATTTCACATCTTAGCCTCTTGAATAGCTAGGATTACAGTCAGGAGCCACAGGCATGTGGCTAAGCCAATGGTTTTTAGACACTGGACAATAAACATCCAGACTCTGACTAAGAGCTAACAAGAAAATGAAAGTCACTCTCTGGTGTCTCTCCGGAGGCTGAGGTCTGAGGATCATCAGCACAGGAAGACAAAGCACATGAGACTCTTCTCCAATTGCCAGAAATGGCGCTGTGGCTCAAGTGGTAGAGCACCAGACTTGAACAAAACTAAGCAAGAATGTGAGGCCTGAATTCAAGCCGTTGCCTAGGCATAACACACACACACATAACATATTTACCACCACCTCCCCAAAGAAAATCCAGCCATTCTTCCATAATACTGAAGTGGCCAGAAGCAGTGGTCTAGAGGCTCATAATCCAACAATGACAACCTGGCACATAATGAGTGGACACTCTTTCCTTGTCTCACTCTCTGCCTAGTGCCCCTTCCTTTGTAGTCTCAGTTATATGCAAAGCCTTGTAAGTAGGAGACTCTGTCTCAGAGTGACCTCAGAAAAATGTGTGATCCAAAAAACCTAAAGAAAAATATGCTTGAATACTTCCTAACAATCCTGGGACTCCTCCTCTGCACTGCACCCCCAAATCTGAGTCCAGGATTATAAGGCAACAAAGCCAAACCCCCAAGAATGAGGATGTCACCAGCTTACCTGAAGCTTCCTCCTGGATTCTTTGACTGAAGCCTTGTCCGAGGTCGGCAAGGATCCCACAGTGGCGTCCGGAGGGGAGCCCAGAGGTGCTGGTTGTGGAGCAGAGTTGGCTGCTCTCAGCTCCTGCTGGTGTCTGAATGCACTGGAGAGCTGGCCATTTATACTGCCTTGGCTGTGCAGGGTGTGGCCCACACCCTACTGGGTGTAAAAGGTGGGTCTCTCCACCAGTAATCCTATCTACTCTGCAGGCTGAGATCTGAAGATTGTGGATGAAAGCCAATACGCCTAGTGGGAAAGTACTATGAGTGACTTTATTCCCCATTAACCACCAAAAATTGGAAGTAGAGATGTGGCTCAATGGTAGAGTGCCAGCCTGGACCAAAATAAAGCCAAGTTGAGTCCAAGGCTCTGAGTTCAAGTCCCAGTACCAGCATGCATGAACATATACAGACCCAACACTAACTAATTTAGTCATTTCCTCTCATCTGGTGAATTCTATCACCGAAACTAAAATTTGAATAACTGAGGAGGAAATAATTATACATTATTTTATGCTGAAAAACATGATCTCAATATATTAATTCTTTTTGTCAAGATATTCTAGCTATGAGATATGGTGTGGTATACCAGGGTGTTGTATGCAATGCTTAACAATGTAGTGAGAGGAATTAACATTTTCAGCACTTTATTCCTGTTCTTAACAAGATATATTTTCAAGTCGGCATCTAGCTACCAAACCCAGACAACTATGAACTCTCTACCCTTCTTCCAGCTTTCAAAGGCGGCGATTACAGGAGTGTCCTATAATCTACTATACCTAGCTTCATTTCAGTTTTCTAGTGTTTGATATCTTTGAGCTCATCAGTTATTTATTGTGATATCAATAAGTTATCAACAGTCATGTGGATTTTTTGGTTGGTCAGATGTGGGGATTGAACTTGGCACCTGGACACTGTCCCTGAGCTTTTATGCTCAAGGCTAGTGCTTTACCACTTTGAACCCCAGCTCTACTTCCAGTTTTCTGGTAGTGTATTGGAAATCAGAATCTTAAGCACTTTCCTATCTGGGCTGGCTTTGAACTGTGGTCCTCAGATCTCAGCCCCTTGAGAAGCTAGGTTTGCAGGTGTGAGCCACCAGTGTGCAGCTATTAATCCATACAATGCTACAGTTCTATAAACTGTAACATCATTGTGCTGTAGAACCCCAAAATGTATCCCTCCATTATCCAGCCTCCCTCTTTCTCCTTTCCTCTCCCTTCTCCCTACTTTCTTACCTTCTAATAATTAATAATCTACTGTCTTTTACTTAGAGATCAATCGTTTAGTTCCTGTATATGAGAGATTGCATATAGTATTTGTCTTTCTATGCCTGACTTATTCACTTCATATACAAATCAATATGGTAGCAGTGATCCCGAGGGTTTGGGCTCCATGTTTGAAAACGTAAAGGGAGAGCATGCTGGGGGAGAGTTGATGGCACTTGCAACCAAACTGAAAGAGTCTGAGGGAGGGGACTAGAGTGCAGAGTGCAGGACAGAGAGCCATGAATATATTTCCAAAAAGTGAACATTACAGCAAGAGAGGGGGAGTCAGACCCCTGCTGGCTCCAGTGTCCTTGACCAGAACAAGGTACTGTCTCTGTCTCTGTCTTTGTCTTTGCCACTTTTGCTGTCTCTGTCTCTTTCTCTTTCTCTGCCTCTATCTCTCTCTCTGTCTCTTTTCCTTCTCGTTCTTTTTCACTCTTGTTTTGTTGTTGTTGCAAGACCAGGACTCAAATGAGTCCTTGATGCTTTGCTCCTTGGCTAAGCCTCTATTAACTAAGTCACACTCTTACCCTTATAGGGGTTCTCTCCTCCCTTTCTCTCTCTCTATCACTGTCTCTCTGTTTTTCTCTCTCTCTGTCTCTGTTTTTCTCTTTGTCTCACTCTGTCTGTTTCTCTCTGTCTGTCTCTCTCTGTCTGTCTCTTTCTCTCATCTCATTCTATAGTCAGGTTGGCATCAAACTAGAACCCAACCATGTTTAAATGGATTATAGGCATATGCCACCACACCTCTCTGAGACCTTTGTTTTTTAATGACTGAACTGAGCCTGAGCTTAGCACTTTCTCCTGCCCTTCATCTTGGGCATGTGTTTTGTTCCCTGGGAGCCCCAAAATCTCCCACAATGGTAGAGAATCCAAATAGCACCCATCTGATTCACCCACATATTGATTGATTTAAGGTCCTGAGCCAAATCCTTTCAGGGAATGTCCTAAGGTGGCTGTGATTCCTACTCCAAGAGGGTGGGCCTGACTCTCTGCAGCCAGTCATGCTGAGGAATTCTGTCTCCTGGGTATCCTTCCTGAGTATCCTCAGGGCTATGCTGCTGCTCAAATGTGCACTGGCGACTAAAGTTCAAATTGTCTGACGTCCAGGTCTTGCTTTGGAATCAGGAGAGGTGAATCACTGCTGCCTAGGAGTGGGGTCAGTCTGGACGACAGGGTCCAGACATAGTGGTGACCATGGGGAACATAAGCTTCCCAGGACCTTTGTCACATTCAATCTATATCACATTTGTGAAACCCAAAGAAGAAAGTGAAAGCGTCAGGTGTCAGTGGGGCTGGGCAGTGGGGAGTTGCTGGGTGTACAGGAACAGACACCTTTTAAGCTGGGTAGGATCTCCCCAATCCTGTCCCTGGATCTTTCCTTCTGGGCTCCTTCTGCTTGGGCCCTTCCTGCTCTGAACCAGGCTAGGATCAGAGTCTGTCCAGGTCATTGATTTGAGTAATTGAGGGGCAAAGAGGAGAAAGGCAGGGGTGAGTTAATGTTCAGTCTTCTTTTAGTATGGAAGGATATGGGCTCAGCAGGTCTCAAAGACCTGCTCAGGGTGTGTGTGTCTGATCTCAAGGAGAACAGGGATTCTCAAGTGGACACATTGCTTCTCTTTTCTTTTCTTTCTTTCTTTCTTTCTTTCTTTCTTTTTTTTTTGCCAGTTCTGGGACACTCTACCATTGAGCCCAATTCTGAGCCTCTTTTGTGTGTTCTTAACCAGCATTAATAATATGAAATTAAAAATTGAGCTTTACAGAAGTATCTGAGCTTGGTATTGGTGGCTCATGCCTCTAATCCTGGCTACCCAGGATGCTGAGACCGGAGGATTTTAGTTCAAAGCCAGCCACAGCTTGAATTTCCTGAAACTCTTCTCTCCAATGAGCTACCAGAAAATCAGAAGTGGAGCTGTGGCTCAAAGTGGTAGAGTACTAGCCTTGAGCAAAAAGAGCTCTGGGATAGATATGCCAAAGTCCTGAGTTTTAGCCCAAGGCAGACAAAAAGCAAAGTATCATTGAGAAAAAAAGCATAATTTTATGGCTGGAGATGTAGCTCCAGCTCATTCCTGGCCAATTATTACAAGGATCTGAGTTCAAGCCCCAGCATTGCCTAAGTATTTTACGGATTTCTAGTATGTATATGTTAAGCTGGGAATGTCTCTTGGTGGTATAGTGCTTGCCTGGTATGAATGAGGCCCTGAGTTTTAGTCCCTCATACCACCTAATGAAGTGTGTGTGTGTGTGTGTGTGTGTGTGTGTGTGTATAGTGAAATGATCAGCATAACCAAGCTAGTATAAGAACTATTTTGTGCCTTAGATGTTGATGTACTCTCTAATCAATTTGTTGTGGTAAACACAATAATCACCATGCTGGCTATTAACTCTCCATAATTTACTCATGTCGAATAACTGACACTTTGATACGATTTGGCCAATCAGTCCCCACTGCTCCCTGTCCTCAGCTAGGAATAGGTGACAGCATACAGCATTGTATTTGTTTCCACAGACAATGAACTATGAGGACTACACTGTAATGAATGAGTTCATCCTTGAATGGATGCTTAATATGATGGGTTTATTGGGAAGAAAAAGGTGGGACTTAGTTGAAGAAAAGTGGCAGTCCATGGGGTGTGTCCTTGAGCTATGGAAAACTGCAACACCTGAATCAGATGCTATGTCTCTATGCTCTAGAAGAATGAGACATATAATGGCAAAGATCCATTGAGGAAGAAGGTAAGAGGAGCTCCTGGTAAATAGTAGGGTCCTCAAGAGAAAAGTACCACCTGCACAGTATGTAAGGCACATCAACCCCCAGACCCAACTAGAGGCTCCACATAGCCATGCATCCTTTAGCCTCTCTGACTAGGTGACTGTTCTGACATACACCTGTGTGATCCACTCAGCTGAGGCCTTCCAAGGAGATACCCAAGACTGCTCAAGGTCATGGTAAGGGATGCAAAACCTCTGAGGGGGTGGAGGGGCTTTGTCCTGATGGCCTACACACACTCTTTTTTTCTCTTCCTTGGGGGCTGTGGTTGGCCCAGGCTCCTTCCTCTCTGTTTCCTTTCTCTGCATCC